AGACAGGTTGTGATATTCATTCTGAATGATCGATCGGTTCACATCGAGAAAAAGTAAAACTGTTTTTGAAATTAGCATATTTTTCTTTTGGCATTTCATGTTACTCGTTGAGGTTTTTGAAATTATATGATAACTGTGAAAAAATAGATGTATTATTCGATGTTAGTTTTATTCTCAAAAAAGTGATGTTCTTTTTTCTCTAAACTTTTAGGTTATTGTGTAAATGATTAGTCCGTCAATGAAGAATTGAAAAATTCCGTTTTTTATCTACTATTTGTTTTTCTTTTGTGCTTACAGAGAATCGCCTCGCAGTAATGAATTAAGTGTTTCCATAAGATTAATATATGACTTGACATTTTCTTCATTTCTTTGTAGTCTTAATATATTTTTTGATTCTAATTCATTTGCTTCTAGTGGTTTCCATAAATCTACTGCTGCTTTTCTTGATATGTCGTTTGTATCTTCTATTAATGCTTGTGTATCATATTGTTTGCCAATAGTTTCATTAATATGATCCATTAAACGTTGCGTTGTCGGCTTTTTGGCATGTGTTGTTCTTGCCATTGCTGGCCAAAGTTTTTCAATCATTGACCATGAATGTTTAGTTGGTAAAAAGAATGAATGATTACCAAGAAGAATGTAAAGACATCCTTTTATTTGGTCATGATCAGCTTCACCTGGACTATTAAGTAATTCAATAATGCGATCAACAATAACTTGATAGGAGAATAAATAACGATTAAGAACAGAAAATAAATAGCCTTGAGCGTCACGTCGAACCTTAGATTATAAAAAATATGTAGTAATAAATAAATAATATAGAGAAATCTTTTTACACACTTCACTATATCGATTGATAGATAATTCGAATAACTTGAGTATAACTTGTTTGTCAATTTCAGTTAATGATTGAAAATTAGTTAAAGAAAATCGCTAATAAAAAAAACAAATGAATAAAGTTTTAGAAGAAAAGAAGTCTTTCGGTCTCAAATTTAGGTGAGAATTTTGATTTTTTTTCAGCTTTGATAGTTATTGTTCAATTGTATTTTTTTGTACAATAAAAGATATATATATCATTTATGACGGCTTTGCTTATATAGAATCCCAGATCTGCTACAATCAACACTATTTTAAAAGATGGCAGCTAGTGACAAATAGATCGGATGGCTCATGTTATGCCCTCTTGACATTTGTCTTGAATTCTTTTATACTACTGTGACGTATTTCTTATATTTTTCTTGTCTAAGTTTCGATTTATCGTTTGTTAAATTAATTGTTCTTATTCATATAGCTATAAAAGAAATAGAGATCGATTTAAAAGTTGAAAATTCACCAGCGATGGTATGTGGAGCATAACGACTATCACTTGAAATAGACAAATAAAGAAGTATAGATACTTATAGACGCTAGTGGGAATTCAGTTCCCATAAGAACCTTTGAGCCTCCAATCCTAAATCCTGGCTCTGTCACTGATAGATGCTAGAACAGCTCATTAACGATAGCCCTTTGTTAAAGGAAGCTATACATCTTATTGAGAATATGAAGAATAACTGAGAATTCGACAAAAAAGGATGTTGATATCACTATGGAACCAGACAATAACAGTGAATAACTTTTATTAAGCACAAACATCGGGAGCCGCAATTCTGAACTTATGAAGGAATCTCTTCAGCTATCCCCCCTTCAACCGATTGCAGTAGTTTTTTGCCGATAGATACTATGTAGTGTTCTCATAAGAATTCTGAAAAGATTTCGGTTCCTATTAAGATTTAATTAAGTTATCGAATATTTTTCAAGAGATTACACGTTTGCGAAAAACGTCTATGTTGAGATTTTGATTTGAAACGTTTCGTATGTAGAGAACTCAACTAGAATAGTTCCCATTAATAAGTATAGAATTTTTTAGTGAAGTCTCCTCGAGATATGAAGCTGTGAGAGAGTGCATGTTGTATATGCTATCCATGGACAAGAGTCTATATCCCGAAAATCTCACATCTCAAAGAAACGTTATTGAAATTTTCTGTATTTTTTAATCAAGTTAATCTAGTTGAGTTCTCTATGTACGAAAAATTTCAGATCAAAACTCGAAGCTATAAGTTTTCTGAAAACGTGGAGTGTCTAGAAAATAGAAATATTAAAAATTGTCTAGTTTAGTCAACTAGAAATAGAAATTCAAATCTATATAGGATTTTTTACTAGAACACTATGTTGTATCTATAAGCGAAAAATCATTGAAATCGGAAGAAAGTAGCTGAAAACGTTCGTTCGTTAGCTATTACAGTGTTTCGTTAATATAAAACATGTTAATTTTCTGTATAAAATTTCGTTGTCACCTATGTGGACTACATATATTTAGAAAAGGTTATGTCATACTTAGTGAAATACATATTTTCTATCAACTGTTGCATGAATTCATTTTGATAATCTGTCTGTAATGTTGTTGCAAAATATAGCCTATAGTAGGGCTGTACAGCTCACGCTCATGAGAGTTAGCTATTTTTCTCTGTCTCAAATAGGCGAAAGAAAATACAGTTCTTCTCTAAACAGCTTTCTGAATAGGAGTGGACATATAACTTAACTTAAAGTAAAGTAAGTTTCCATACTTAATACTTAGTTCACTTAAAATTAAGCGTGAGGATCTGCAAAAAGCAAACATCGTTTACTTTCAAGTTTTTCTTTACTCGGATACGTACGCATTAAGGTGTTTTTCGGGTCGTACAGAAGATTATCTTTATGAATCCCTGATTGACCTGTATAACACTGGTTTGTTTTGTTTTTCCAATAATGAAGAACAAAACCTAACTGAAATTCAATTGTTCGAGAGCTTTTTTTATTGACAAATTAAATTTCAGTTGGGTTTTCTCTGTTGTAAAAACCAAAATATTATTCAGGCGGATCAATACTACGTTTTGTCTTTATCATAAAGTAAAAAACCTAACTAAAAATTGATTAGTCAATAAAAAAGGTCCCGATCGATCAAAATCAGTTGAGCTTTTACTGTACTGTAAAGAGAAAACAATGTTGTTCCACCTGATCAAGGATAGTCTTTTATATAGCCAGAAAAACATTTCGGTGTGTCCATATTGGAGTAAAGCAAAACTTGAAAGTAAATGATGTTTGTCCATCGTTAATTTTCACACTTAATTATAACTGAATCAAGTATTATGTAGGAAAACTGACTTCACTTTATGTTACGTTATATGTTCCACTCCTATGCCGAAAACTTCTTAACAAGGAACTGTAACGTCTCTCGCCTATTTGAACAAAGGAAAAACGCTCACGCTCAACATAAGTGTGAGCTGTACACTCCTAGTCTATAGCGTGCTCTAGTAAACATCGAATTATGGTAGTAAAAAAAATTAAGAGTCGTTTCAGAAAAAGTGATTACACAAAGCATTCTTCAACTTAAATTTGAGATCCAAGGACTAGGTTTTCCTTATATGATTTACTTCACATTGCAATGCTATTCTTTCAACCATTAAAAATCGTGGATATTGTCTTTCACCATACAATTTGTTAATAAATGAATTTTTGGCTGCTTCAAAATGTTTATGTAATTTATCTGCATCATGTTTAAATACACCATAATAAATTGATGATAATGAATAAATCTTTAATATATAGATATATATTTAAAGTAAAACAAAAATAAAATCTATACTTTCAATGCAGTTTTTATCGATGACGCATCATCGGAATGATTTTCAACAAGAATATCTAGAAGAAAAAAAAGTTATTTTATAATATTAACAATTATAAACTTTACCGATTAAGTTTCCAATATCAACTAAAAGACACATTCGTAGATTTTCTTTAAATTCTAAACAAAATACAACAGTAAAAAAAATTTTGATTTCATTATCATACTTGGCTCTTTGGCATAAATCGAATATTGAGCTTGATATTTTGAAGCATATGGAGCAACAGATGGTACACTTAAAAAACAAACAATATATTGTCAAGATAAATATTCAGTGTTTACTCACAGATTTTCAATTTCTTTACTGTCGATACGTGGTACCATACGTAAGCATCCAATAGACATATAATGAACAAGAGTTAATGATCGCAATCGTTCTTCATTTGACATTTTTGAACATTTCTCGTTCAATAATTGTAATTCAGGATAAATAAATGTTTCAACGAATTCACATGCGAAGTCAACTTCTTCTCCATTCGGAATATGAAATTGAACTTGAAGTTTATCAAATTCAACATGTTGACCCCATGCCTAGAATTAATAAAACAGAATAAGATTACATAATAAGCTGTTAGAACGATCCCTACGAGATACAAAAAAATTAACACGATGGGACTACTTTAACCATTGTGAGATACTCGATTATCTATATGACAGACTAATATCTAGCATACCGAAAAATCTACTAGGCTGCCACAAACTTACCAATATCTTTGTCATAGATTGCCATTAGGCTAAAATAATATTGGCATGTTTGTTGCGATTTTTGAGACCAGCTAGATGTAATAGATTTAATTATCTCACTATATACTTCAGCACTCATTATCAACCATGTTTCGCAAACGTATTTTAATAGTGAAATAACAGCCTTGTATTATTTCTGTAGTGACTCAGAAATACACATGACTATTCAAGAGGTTGGTTTAACCGATACAGGATGAAAAATGACTCATGCCGATCTGCTGATTAGCCTGATTGGTAGGAAAAAACCTATAATGGTTGCATCGATGCTTTATTCTATTTTGAGATACATTTCATCATGCTTTGAATTCTCCGCAAATATTGTAAGAAAGCAGTTCATAGATACGAACGAGACATTACTAATATACAATTTTTCAACGTATATTAGCAGCATCTGCCATGGTCCGTGAGAGGAAATAGGAGAGAAAATTTTTTTTCTCTGTATTTCAACTCCCTATTTAGATTGTATTTCACAACAAAAGAATAAATTAAATGAACTTACTCGAATGGGTAAGAAATCTGTAAATGGTTCTTCAATATTTTCAACTGTTAGTCGATATTCAATTGGATATACATATGATAATGATTTAAGTAAATTTTTTGCAGCATTTGCTACAGCTTCATGTGTTTCTTTGTGAATGATACGAACACATCGATGAAAAACAGATAGAATCATTGGTTTATACATAAGCAGTGTATCACCACGAGCACGAACAAGTTCAGAGAAAAGTATTAAACACCATGTTAATTCAGTATCTCCTTTATGATCAGTTAATATTGTTGTTTCTGAATGACTCATTATTTTTTCAATACGTTCACATGTTTGTGGTAAAAGATATTTGAGTGTTTCTTCAGGATTTCCTTTAAGAATAGCACGAACAAGGCCGGTAACAAGTTTTCCAACTTTTGGTGTAAAAAATGAACCAGCAAGAAAATTAGTTACTTTTTCTCGCACCATCTAAATAAAATATTCTTTTGTTTACATATCAAACAAAATTTTACTAATAAACATACTTGAAATATTTTATTACTGCATTGTTGAACAATACCAAACATCATTGATGTTAATGCTAATTCGGTAACATGATCTTCTAAATTTATTTTTGAACTGACAATAACAGCATCAGACATTTCAGTAGATAATGTATCAATCATTTGAAATGTTCGATTAAGAAATTCAGTTATGAAATCTTCAAATTTAGCTGTTGATAAACAAACTTCTTTCTCAATCTATTCAAAAGAAAAAAAAAGAAACATTCTTTTATTGTATATTTATAGTAGAATATCAAAAATAAGATTCTTTTTGTTTTTCTTACTTCAGTAAGATCATTTCGAGTATGAACAGCCGATGAACAATCAACACATGTAACAAGCATTAGAATAGCATTAAGAAACTGGAATGTTACAGCGGTTTTTTTGAAATCATTTGAATCAATACCAGGTAGAACAGCCATTAATAATGGTATAACATATGTTTGACCTTGTGAAAAATATGGAGCTTGCCGAACAATTTGACGTGCAATACTTGCTAAACAAGTCATTATAGAAGTAAAACGATGTGGTTCACTCATACTATCAATAGACGAGAATAGTCTAAAATCAAACAATATTAATCAATTATAAATCAAATAGTAATAATTATAATAACAAACTTTTCAACAATTGGTGGAACAATAAGTTCTGGTCGAAGCATTGATAAATATTGACATGCTTTAGCAGCTTCTTTAAGATGAGCTTTAGTAAATATAGCAATAAAGGCACATTCTTTAATGCAATTTACAAAATCTGTTATATTCTGTTCAGTTAATCGATAAGATTCAGGTGGAGTAAAATACCACACTGGATTAGCTTTACGTTCTCTAAAAAACGAACAAACTCATTGAAAATGATTTCATTTATATTTTATCTACTAACAAATGAACTCGATCAACAAATGCTTGTGCTAATTTTGAAAGAAAACTTATTAAATCTTGTTGAAATTTGCCTGTATTTGATGGATGATAAAAACTTTTAATTGCAGTAAATAAATCTTGTAAATGTTGCAAACATGAACTTCCATTGCCTAACATAGCGACAATCCATGTTGTAACACTTGACATTGAATAATGATATTGTTGAAGAGATACTTGAATTTTACCAACTGGTAACGAGAAACTTTTTAATATACGTGTAAATATCTAATTTATACAAAAGAAGAGACGAAGTTTATTTTTGATAATAACAAAAACCAAAATAATATACTCGTGATAGCCAAGGTTCCCAATCGATATAACCAATATTACACCATGCTAATAATGAAAATAGATTTACCATATTCTAAAATACATGATCGAAAAAAAAGAAAATTTATTATTAAAGAAATCTCACCAATTCCCATGCTGGATTACTATAAATAGATTCCCAAATACCTAAAAATTCTGGTAACCATAATCTAAATAAAAAAAAATTAAGATTTAATAAAGATAAATATGATAAAAGACAGGTGGGCCGAAAGTTTCAAGGCAACATATTTGTTTATTTTTTAGACATATTGAAAGTGTTTCAAGCAGTCAAAAGCTATGGATTAGCCCCAGCATAGTGTGTACCAGAAAGCCCTACAGAACTATTTTTTCACCCTGTGTTATCATCAGAGTATGTCAACTGGGGTTCACTATGAAATGTATTGGAAACCTAACTACAGATTTTGATCTTGTTTATATTCACTGCTCATATCTTTTCTAATATCATTTTAAAAGAATATTATTCATGGTCAAACAAATACTACTTTACGAAATATTAGAGTGAATTAGGCTGTAGCTTTCAGCTAAGTGAAAGTATAGAAACTTTGGCAAAAGCTTCTTTCTATACAAAGCACCTTTTAGTCAAAAAGTAGATATTTCAACAATGAAGATTTGAAAGAAACGAAAATTGAAATTACCTGTCGACAAACAAAAAAACCTCCAAAGATATATTTTGTAAGGTAGTTTCTGCTTTGAAAGCTGATACATTAATAAAGATTCCAACATTTACATTTCTTAGTTACGATAGCAGAAGTACAAAAGTGTACGAAGAAATTTTCCGTTGAAACTATTTTGTTGGGTCTTTGAAAAGATCATTTTATTGATCGCAAGAAAAGTTTCCTTGCTGTCCATGATCCATAGATTGTGATCTTTTGGACGCACTTTCAACGTAGTCCAAAATAAGCAAACATTTTATCTTAAAACTTATGGCTCATCCGTTAGTTCTTACTTAAAACCTTGATCATGTAAATTGGGTGGTAAATGAACAGGTAAAAACAATTCAAAAATTCGCATTGTATCCGAAAATGCTGAATCAAACGGACATAAATATGGTCGGAATTCATCAAGAATTTCTTGTGTAGCTGTTGCTGAAAAATATGGACGACAACCACGAATACAATAGAATAATGAATTTTCAATTTCACTTTATAAAAAAAAACGAAAAATAAATATAAAAATGAAATTAGAAAAAACACCAACTTTGGTACTGAAACTAATGAATATGATTCATCATGATTATGAAGTATGACTTTAGTCCATTTATATAATAAACGCCAATCAACAATTAAATCGTCACGGGCGATTAAACGTGTTTTTCTGAAACAAGAAAACAAAATTGATTTATTTTTTTTTTGCATTAATTAATTAATTATCCAACCTTGTAAGATCATAAAGCATATCAAAACATGTTTTAACATGTGAAAAATCTAAATCTTCTATTGTAAGTACTGACATATACAAGTTAATTGTTTTAATATGATCAGTTTTTGTAAAATAAAGACCATAATGTGACATAAAACGTTGTAATTTCGACGACCAATGTGAAAAACCTGGTCGTAATTCACGTAATTGAATAATACGTGATAAATTTTCACGAATTTCGTCAAATAAATCATAACCTTGCCGTTTAATTGAATCATAAAAAGGTAAATATTTATTAAATATATTTGGTTTTTGAAGACTATCTTCAATTATTTCAATTTCATCAATATCGGTACTACGTTCACTTTCAATCTGTTGATCATCCATCTAAATTAAAATTTTTAATCATTAATAACAAAACATTTTTCATTGAATCTTTACAATCTGTATCGCGTTTGTTGTTGCTTTTTTCTTTTTTTTTTTTGTACTATGTGATTTATCAATAATTATTCACCGATATGAGTCAAAAGATAAAATAAGGACAAACAAATTTCGATTAACTTAAGCAGTCGAAAAAGAGAAACTAAAGAAATCAAGGACAAAAAAATGCACTATCATAATAGACATGCATATATTGTTTTTTTTTTATTTAACAGGGTTGATCAAGGAACATCCATTCACTGAGCAATTTTTGCCTCTTCTATATAAAAAGACACGTCAAGGTGTGACATCTACTACTTAAAAAAAACCAGATTGTTTTGATTCAATATTTAATATTTACTTTATTATGTGAAGTATTTTAAATTAAAGATTGGCTTTCGAATTGAATTTATTAAGCTCAAGTTGTTCATTTGCATATTCTACTGTTGTATAACAGAGATATTGAAGCAACAGATATGTGCCATCCGCTATTAGCTTTTAAGGACTAGTTTCTTGTTTTTTTTCCAAGTATTGTAAGTTTGATGAATATTTCTGCATAGATGTCTTAAAATTCTTTGAATCTGATAAACTTAAAAGATTCTAAATGTATGTTTAATGAAATTTTTTTAGAATTTTATTTTATTTAAATATTGTAATGGCCTGCGCGAACGCAAGCCAGCGCAAGAAATTACCGGATCTCTTCTATCCAATTTGAATAGAAAGCGTATGGCAGTCATAGACCGATGTGCAATGGCCAGACCTTCACACGGCGGATCGAAGTTCTTGATCCTCGAAACCGCATCCGAAAGTAAGTATGAATATTGATATAATTTCATCGATTTTTATATTCATTTAATGTGCAAAACAAAAACGGTGATGACTTCTGTAGACGAGTAATAAACAAAACGAGAGCATGTTAAACGATAGGGCAAAAAAATGGAAAAAGGAAGAAAAAAAAAAGAACGACTGAAACTGTCAGACTGATTCATCTGTCCTATGTAGACAAAGCGAATGATTCATCATCGAAGAGAAGTAACAAACTTCTACTGTGCAATTTGTGCGCTGTGTAACGTTATATAACGGTGAGTGTATCATGTTGTAAAGCATACTTACCTGCCACAGGAACTTCCTTGAACAAGAAGAAGGAAGCCCCTGGCGGAGGCCCTGTCATTGCACTCCGACAGCGCTAAAGCCAGCGAAAGGTTCACATAGAGCCTTCTCGAGTGGATCATTTTTCCCAGCGGGTCGAGCGTTCGCGCTTGACCCTGCATCAAAATTTAAATGAAAATATCAATAATACTTATTCAATGAACTGTATTCAATAGTTCATGAATAATCATAGTGCATTTAATGAGCATTATTTAAACTTCAATTAGTACGATTGATCATCTTGAAATGTCAGAAAAAGTTTTGACTTGATCATAATCACGAAAAATCCTATTTATGATATATTTTCTTCACATAAAAGAAGAGTCGAATCTTGTAAAGAAATGTTTGTTTATTAAAAAGAAAGGCCTTTGTACTGTAGTATAAAACTGTATCACAGAGAAGAATTGATTTTCCTGTTCTTATTTTGTTGATAAAGTTTTAGTAGTTGTGCCATTTTATTTTATGTGTGACTTGTCGTTTTTTTTTCTGTCTAAAAACCAGGGACTAAATATTTACTACTGAATCGTGTTTATTAGCGGATAAAATATACAAAAGAACAGAAGAGAAAGTTATAGCTTACCTACACATAACGTAAATATATTTGCTTCCAAAGAAGAAAAGAAAAATTATTTTCAGCTTGAATGAATAAGAGAGAGAGATAGAGAGAGCGATTAATATATTATACTTTATTTATATCAGCAATTGTATGCATTTAGTGAATATATAACGGTTGAACTTCTCGATTAAACCAGCAAAACAAAATTTATTTAATACATCAATTAATTCATAAGTTCTTTCGAGAAGCAGTCTATTACTTCAGTTCAACGAAGCAAACAATGTAAAACTCGAATAACTTTTTGAAGTTTTTAATAGTAAAAGCTTCTATCTTAGTACATCAAGTTTCATATGTGCTAACATTAAGAACAGACAATATTTAGAGCTGCGATTTAAACGACGTTTAGAAATTTGTTAGTTGGAGACTCTCAAGTTCATAAATCTCGATCATTAAAGCCATGGCAACCGTTAAAACGGAACAAAATAGACCAGCTTTAATGCTCTAAAAATTAATAAAAATACTCAGTGACTGGCAAACCCACACATCAAGTTTTAAGTATAATGAAGAATCAAAGTGTGATAATTGTGATAGTCATAATGATGATTCACGCGTTGATATTACTTCGATTGTTGATGAATATGAAAATGAAGTAGTATTTTCATCAATATATCACCAATTGGAATCTAAAGACAGTATTGTAGTACTTTTTGTTTTTATATTTTAAACATAGCCATAGCGAACTCAATAAAATCTAATAATGATATTCGATCTTATATACGTAAACGATCATATTAGCAGACTTTCGTTTACGAAAGTTTGTTCGCTAAAATATAAGAGACGATCTGGGATGTTCTATTATTTCTTTTTGATATAAATCGATGAAGAAGCTTACTAGTAAGTTAAATATGTTTCGAAAACTTCACAATTGTCAAATTACGCATACTATAGCAAACAACTGACTATGCCATTATTGAGCAATCAAGAACAAAGTTAATATATGTATTATAAATCTTAACTCTTGAGAAGTTGCAATAGTATTTTATAATGAACAAATGTCCTCAGATGTTATTAAGAAGTAGCTGTTTATTTAACAAGACATGCCAAAAACATATGTATTCTGTTGAAATTATTTTTTATTTGGTTGATTTCTTCATTTTTAATATTACTTCAATAATATGGGATTAATGTTGCTTTTGCCCACTAGTATAATCTGGTCGAAGAAAAACAGATACAAGGCTTAATATGCGGTTAAGCCTTCCTTCTCTATGATGCAGTTGTTGGACCAATCAAACGACCTTAAATACAGATATGGACACTCAGTGGATCAGACTAAAGCATTAGCATATAAGATAGGAGGTAATACTCTACTTATAAAGTTATTTTATCAGTAATTCTTTTGGAACCGTAGTGAAGGATAAAGACTTAAAACAATCCACAATTCTTAATGCAAAACACATTTTCTCCACTAGGATTCCATTTTAAAAAAGTGAAACAAATTATTATCTTTTTATTGAAGTGTACATAATTCATGCATCATATTTATTTTTAAGAACAATAAACCAAAGATAAATGTATTGTAAACATAAATAATAAGAAACAGACGATAAAGAGTTCTTTTCTTTCTTTTCTTTGTTAAACAATAATAATATTAAAACCAATCGAATACATCACTAGCACCTCATTGTAGTTTGTGTAATAGATTTAAAAATCAATAAATAATTATATGAGTTATTCTGAACGACAGCAAGGTAAATAGATAGTTTTATAAGTTCCCATTTAATGGAATGTCTATTATATAAAATGTCGGTTGGTTATCAAATTATCGTGTGCCATGATTATTCGTATCACTAACTGTTTCTTTACGTTGAGCCAAGAATATAATAACAGCATCACTAACCAAAAATAAAAATGCTACAACTCCCATGGCCTATATAAAAATAAATATTAACCTTTAAAACTTTCTTTTTTTAAAATTTTTACTCCTCCAGCAAGTTGACCTGGAATTCGGCAATAATGAATAACCACACTTGATGCAATCTAATATCGAATTAAATAAACATTAACAAAAAAAAATTTCTTTTTTTGTTCTTACCAGCAGATACAAAGCATCAGAAGATGTTGCAAAGAGATCCTATAAAATAAATATTACACAATCAACGTAGGACAATCCTTAAAAACATATGCAAACATAGAAGCTCTTGTCTATTTATTGACTCGGAGTGATGATGTTTCGTACGTGTTTGTAGACTAACGATTATTCTAACACTCCTTCCCGTTATATTTGACTCTCGACGCGTCGACTACATTGACTAATATCAATAGAATAACATACATACCAAAAGTTCAAAATCAATACCAGGAAATTTTGTTTTCAAACGAAAAACATAAATAATTATAATTATCATTTGCATTATCATAACGAGAAATGTGACGACAGCAAGAAATACATGATTGCCACTACATTGTGGTGTTGATACCACACAAATAAATGAAGTAAAACAAAATAACTACAAAACAAAGGAGAAAATAATAAATATAGTATGTATTCTCATTCAAATCTCTAAATATGTTATGTGATACAATACATAAAAAGTATGATTAAGTTCAATAAAGACACAATACAATTATTTAGTAAGATGTTTAACTTGTAGAATTAAATTAAATTGTATTCAGTGAATAAATAGTTGGTTTTAGTTAAATATTGAAAAAAATATTCACTTACCAAACACGCATATTTGAGAATGCCACGAATGGACATGAGGTAAGCTTTATCGATGCGACTTTCGGATTCTGTTGACGATGTAGCATGATTAGCAGATTGAACAGGACTAGTTGCCATATAGTTACTTGGAGTATTGTGTGCACTCATATTCGACGACAATTGATAATAACTAGTCGTCGCTGTTGTCTATAAGTAGAAAAAAAACGAATATGTTGATGATGATTTGCTTTCTCTCTTTTCTTCTCTTCTCCGTTTTTGCTATAACGATGCGCAAACGACCAGAGAAGTGCATTGTCTCCCTCCTCCTCTTTCGCTTCTTTTTTTTTCGAACTTATCTGGCATCATTCATATACATAGCGAACGGTAGGAAGAGAAAGATAGAGAATCCATAACAATGTGTTCTGTTTATGCGGCGCAATATAAAATAAAAACAAGAGGGACGAGTTAATTTATGGTGACCAAAATCTTCAATGAATGATGACCACACACATATATAAATGCGTATACTTTCGAAGTCTTTTATGTCCATGTCTTGAAATAAAAAACAATATTAGTGATTGTCTTTATATTAATGATGTTCAGTGTGGTTTATTTCTGTGCTAAAATTTAAGAGAATCATACGAAAAGTAACAGCTGTTATGCCAATTCCGTGTCGAACCAGATGGTATATTAAAGCGTGATTATTGGAAAAAAAGAGGCCATATCATCTTTGTCTTTTTCTTTTCATTCCTTTTTAATTTGAAAAATAAATATATATATACCAAATAGAGAAAATAAGAATAATAATCTGGATTTATATCATTTATTCGACAAATCATCTAGTTCGTAATCAAGGACTTCAAATACTATATAAATGTATATATCTTTTTCGTTTGTTGATTAAAAACCATTTCTACTGTAAGACATTGAATGACAGTAGGGAAATATTGGATTGATACATATGATTGAAAGGATGACTTAGTTTTTAGTTTTTATCTGTATGATTAAAATATCATGATATACATTAGTATTGCTACTCACTTTTATCAGGACAAACTCGACTCTTGATCTTATTCTTAGCATGTTGAGATACAACTACATACCATTTATAAATAATCATTTACTATAATTTGTAGAGCTCTATAAGTAGGTTTACCAGGAAATTACTATCTCTAAGTAGATTTCATTGATAGTATTCATTCAATGAAGAAAATGTTCTTCTTGTTGAGTCTTTTTCTTGTTTTTTTTGCTTTTTGTATTTTCATAAAAAAGAAATGAGTTAGAATATCAATTTTTCTTATAATATTCTATCTGGTTTTGAGGCAGACAGATTCTTCTGTAGATATAAAATCAAGATCAAAGGGCTATAAAATTAGATTCTTTTTTAAATTTAAGTTCTTTTAATTGAAAAATCATCAAAATATAATTCATAGATCTGAACTTACTTTTAACTCGCTAGAAAGTATTTTCGACAAGTCAAAACCTATGAATTAGGTTCGAACGGAAAATTTTTGTGCTTTTACTATTGCGATTTGCAACTATAAGTTGAAATCTTTATTCACATATCAGCTTGCAGATCAGAAGTTACCCGGCAAAATCAACTGTTTGAAATTTAGTTTGTCTTTCAACAAGACATCTCAAGTCTCGTTTTTCTTCAGTATTGATTCTTGAAAAATCCACAATCATTTTACTTTGAAAGAAACTCTTGAAAGAATGCTTGAGTAATAGCCACAGCTTAGTTAAATATCATATGTTGTAGCGAAGAGTCTAATCTAGAAAACGATCGACTCCAACAATGTTTAGCATATTTGAAAAGAGACTTATAGTGTAAACAAAAACCTATTGACTCACTATTAATAATAATTTTTCAGATTTTTCAAAAAGTTCCTCAGTACTCTTCAACAAAAATAGACAAAATATTTTCTATTAATATTTTTTCTAGCGATACAGACAGTTCCATAAGTCTACTTTATTATCACAAAAACCTGTGACACATAGTTAAGATCGAAATAGTTAGCACACTCTGAAATAGTAAGACCATGTTGTAACACTAATGCAATTTCAATTAGTGCTGCAATTCCGAAACTTTTACCATAAAAACTCGTCGTTTCATAGGCATTTCTGCTAACATTTTTAAATGAATTAGCAAAAGTCACCATATAAAAGGTTAATCTTACTAAGATCAGCGTTTATTCTTCAACAAACATTTTTAATGAGAAAACAATAACTCAATTATTTTACAGTAGTTTCTGACAAAATTCAACTTGAAGATAGCTGCTACATTGGATTTTCGAATGAAGGAGTGGAAAAGAATTGGTATTTCACTCTAATTGAAATAAGATAATCACAAGAGAAAAATGATGTTTGAGTGATAAATCCATTACACACGAACTAACTATGAGTGGGTTGCAATTTTTGATATCTCTGCAACTTATGCTGCAGCTGAGTTATAAGTCTTGTACTGTGAAAAAAATTGTACTTTACCGAGAGATGTGCTTAGAAAACGAAATCTTTTAACTCTCTATGCCCATTCATCCGATTTAATGCATGATAGACACTTGACCTTTTTGTGTAGATTAAAAAAAACGATCATTTTGTAAGAAGTCGAATTTCATTCACGTTGTAGACTGACTGTTTGCAGATAGCTTCTGAACAATACATTCGTTTTCGGCCAAGTTTTTACCATAGATCTACTTCTTAGAATTGTATAACCAGTCAGAAATTTATCTGTCTGTCTCTTATCATTCTGTAGAAATTCGAACTATATGGTGTATTATAGACTGACCGTTTTTTATGTGATATTTCAATTAAAACTATTTCACAGAATTTTGTTTGTTTTTTTACGGTGCCAAGTTGCTCTGCTGTTATTTCGAATATAGATTTGGAATTAAAATGTAATTCTATCACATTGACTTTAGGTAGTCTACTACGGTTTGGAGAACGAGATTTTTCATTTGATCTTTCAAGCAATAGTGAGTCGACATAGATTGTATCTAGTATTTCGAATCGGCACGATTTTTCGTACCCGGACCTAAGCAATCGACATCCCACAAGTGCTTTCATAATCTTAGTACCGTTTTTAAACTTTAACTTTATATGAAAGTAGTATACTGTTTATTTTCTTCGGTAAACAGCTACAAATTATAATAATAAATCTTCTCTATCTAAAGTACACGTGTCTAAAAGTATTTGTTCAAACGGAAGGATTATCTATCGACAGTATAGTTTCAACTTCCTTTAAAACATCATCCTTCACAAAAACTAACAAGTTTTAACTTGTCATTATCTTTTGATCGGCAACAACGTCGACTTAAAAAATCAACTACATATCTATACATTAAAAAAAACTTTTTTTTTCAATTATCTATTACTTCTCCTAACTTTCAACATTTTTTCATGAATAGAATAAAAAATACAGCAAGAGTCGATTGTTCAATACCACCTATGGTTACCCAACAATTTGTGACACATGTTGATGATGAATCAATGATAAATATAAAACTATTCCATATGACATCCATACAATTATTAATGTCAGAAAAAATTATCCGAATATAAAGTTCGATTGTAAGTCAAAAATATTAATTTGATCGATTGTTTAATATCAGAGACCAAAATCGAACTGAACTGTAAGGGATCGGTTCGAATCGGTCCCAACCAAACCCGAATCACTCTTTCAAAAATGAAATCGAACCGAACTGAATCCAAAGTGGGTTTTAGGCAATAAACACGTATCAAACCAAATTCGAAACAGGAAAACTAGGTTCGATTTGGTCTCTAATACCTACATTCATAGCCTAACCAGTCCAGCGTTGTTCGTTCTGCATGTACATATTTCAGATGTATGAAGATCTTTCTGGTTACATGCGCGTATACGCGATAATAAGTCAAGAAAAGCTGGAAAGCCAAGTCAGTAGCAATCGAAATCAATTCATTGAGTCAACAAGAACAAGTGTTTACAGCTTATTTTGAATTTTTTCAAATGTTTCTTTATAGTCCAAAAGATGAGAATGATTTGAAGGCAATTTTTCTTCAGCAATTTCTACCGCTTGTTGAACATTTTTCATTGCCCCACTACACTGTCGAGTAGCCAAATATAATTTCGCAACATTGTGGTAGATTACAGCTGAAGCAATATGGTTTTTCGGTAGTTTATTTTGACGTATTTCTAATCTTTTTTTGAAAATATGTCAATGCCGTTGAATAATCTTCCATGCCTCGATAAGTTTTCCTCAAGTTCGTATCTGTCGTTACACAATCTAATGGGTTATATCGAACATTTTCTTGAATATTTAATGCTTTTCGATGGAACGCAAGTGTCCTATCATAATCTCCCATTAATAGATGAATATCGCCAATATCTATGTATGTGACAGCCCGATTAGGGTGTACCTCGGGTAACGTTTGCTGACGTATTAAGAGAACTTTTCAAAAATTATCCAGTGCCTTTGAGTAATCTCTCATTCCGCAATAAACTCTCTCGTAGCAGTTGTATAGAAAAGCCAAATAAGGATGATTCAGGGGCAGAGTTATCTCGAAGATTTTTTGCGAATTTTTGTGAAACTCAAGTGCTTTCGAGTAATGGTCTGTCTCGCTATACATTCGACTGATGTTATCGTAGAAAGCAGCAAATAAAAGACAATTTTGAGGCAGTGCTTTCGAGTAGTCACCCATATTGTTACACACTTGACCGATATTATTATAGCAAGTGCTTAGATCGAGGTCATCTTCCGAGAAATTATGTTCTTTGATTTCGATTGCTTTTTTCTAAAACATAGTTGTTTCTGTGTATCGTCCTTGGTCGGTTCTCAACCGTTCAAGGTGCTGATAGATATATGCTTGATCACTGTTGTTGGATGTCTGTTCTAGTAGTACAGTATACAGCTCTTCGGTCTTGTCGAATTGACCTATTTTGAGTAGCAATATATCCATTTGATACCAGCTCGTACCGCCTACATCTTCTCATATACGGTCGATTAGTTGACAGAGGTGGTGGTCGCCATCAGACATAAGTTTAAGATCGACTTCATAAAGTGGGCTTGTCTTCTTAATTTTTCGAATTTCACCAATTCGGAAAAACTGTGTGTATTGGAAGTAGAATTTCCTCTTCATCCTTGAAATAGCTTTCCTCCTGAATGGAGGCGAACGGACTCGATGGGGCCGTAGGATCTATGGTCATTTGGAAAAGGGTTCCGACCTTAATGGTTGTTCCTAAGGTACCCCTGGCGAAACCGGGTGAAATATTTTGATTTTTACTTGTGGACAAAAAATTATTGAATAATATAAGTCGACCTTTTTCTTTTGGCAAGTTTTTCGAAGTCTGCTCTAGATAGCCTCTACCTTCGAGAGACTAGAAAGGTCTGTTCGTGATCTCAATTGATCTGTTTGTTGTGCAAATATTCGATTTCTCGGTGTGGATCACACAGATAACACCCCATTTTGATGATCATGTCGCCGTCTAATATTCGTAATGCTAGATTAAGAATTTTGTACGTGAAGCATTGACGTATATACCACCAGATGGTCTTTGATGAATGATAGGTGCGTTGAAATTCATCAATAGTTTTGGTTCCTTGGACATTGCTCCAGTATTCTTGTTGCTAGATTGTGATCAAGTTTTTAATTGCTTCTTGATTATGTTCCATATCAATGAATGTTTCCTTGAAGATTTCTGTATACATGAATGAAAGTTCTAGCTGATTGAGATTATCGCTGGAACCTCCTTCATTCACACCAACAATACTGACCGATATATTATGTTGATTGCATTTCTGGACAATCATTGCGAGCGCTTCACGTATGGAATCGATTAATGTAAGGACACCTTTAATTTTGGCCCAATGTTTGGTCCATGCCTCATGACGTTGTTTTTTGCTACAAAAGATGTAAATATTATGTAACTGTGGTATGCCATGGATATCTGACAGGAGCTTTTAACCTAGAAATTCAGAAGTAATGAGATAAACCTTTTCCAGGCTAATGCTCTTAAGAAACTGGATATATTCATCTGGTTGTGTAAAAATATTGACTCCGTTGATGATGCCTTGTACTTGTGCAAACTTCTCTCGCCAATCTTCTTCTGAGTTGTCAATAGCCTCATTGATCCAGATGACTGAATAGTTCTCAGCCATGCCTTATCTTCGTTGTTTGCTCCGTTTTGACGTGATCTTTGGCGTTCGATAAGTAATTGAGTATTATGAATAATGGGTTGGTGTTTCGATACAGATCCCTTTTCTATTTATACATCGGATGCCGTTTTTTTTCTAAACTTTCTCACATCGTCAAAAATGGATTTTTCATTGACATTCAACAGCAAATTCTATTAAGATTCAATTGAAAAAATGATTACTAACAAGAAACGAAAGAAGCAAAATTCAAGAATATCATTAATTGTATTGTTCCTCTTTCCAACTTTCGGTTGCTTTCCACTTACACGATCCCATGAATGTCAATACTTTGGAAAACTTGTCTGCTTTTTGTCTTTCTGGCAAGAACGCAGAAAACAACAAAGACGTTGTCTATTCGTTTTTTCTCATTATGACTATAATAGACCTACTGATAATGTAAATGAAACAACAAGAAAAGTGAATTTAATTTTAATTAAAGCAACATTCGAACAATGGTTGCTAGTTATTCAACAAATTGCTGATCATTCACCAGTTATTTAAGTAACAACAACTGCTTTATTTTTCTTTTATTGTCAGCAATATGTATTGTGTCTGCTTATTACTGAAGTAATTATAAGTTGTGTACCTATGGTGATAGTTTGGGTTTCGGTCCTCTCTACATCCACAGCCACACGCATATTTGAATATCCAGAGAAAAACTATGTCGTCCATTGGTCATCTTTCGTGGCATTTCTAGTATCTCAAGTCTTCTGAATTTAAGACACCACTGTAGTTGTTTTGAATCTGTAGGTAAACAAAACGTAATGACGCTAATTGCATTTGAAACTGTACAGCTGATCTATTATCTTAACTAAACAAATTGTTGAGGGTGTCGTTCGTGTAGGTTAAATAGACTTTGATAAGCTGCGTCGAATGATGTTTGAACGAACTTTCTAGCTCTTAAGCCTTCCGAGATAATTGAAGCAGAGTGTGTCAAAAACGTGACAGTGGTACGTTTGGACAAGCTGATATTGTAAAGAGTAACTTGTATAGCACTTTTATGTATTGTACATCAAGTTGCAAAATACGACGCGTGCGACATATTTTTTTATTAATGAGAATACACACTATTTGTGACTATATTGTGGGAAAAACTTGAAAACGAAAAAACTGTTGCTTTAGTTTTAGACGAAAAAAATCTACCAGATACATATTGATGTGTACAAACAAAGTTCACTTTTCTGGTTCGCGTATGAACATTTCCTCCATCAACACAGATACCCATTCATATCCATACTGAGTATACAATGCAAAGTAGATCTATGCATTTCAATCAACGAAAACGCGTATTCTATCACTTAAACAAATGCATAGCCATGCTCAACATAGAACTGGTTTAAATATTTTGAAGGAGAGACTCACACCTTCTTACTTCTTTTTTGAAGGTCTCTTCGTATTATTTGGTAATGAAGTAAGGCGTATCACGGCTACTATGCAATAAAGTGTTCGAAAACTTTTGCTGTTTAAAATTAACATAGAATATAATAAAAAAATATTACTCAGCAAATGTGCAAGTCTACTTTTAGTTCTCCGGATCAATCGTACCGAAACGTTCTAATTCACTCATATAGAGTATTTATGCTTCTTTTTTTGTGAACAGAAGTATATATTAAATAAGGAACAAAAAAAATGAAATGAAGTGAGAAGATACAAAAAAAATAGAAGTTATCTTCAAACACATTTTTAACCATGAACATAATAGAATAAAAACAAACACGAACATCAAATACAGCATAAAAAAGAAAAGTACATTAGCATATGAGCTTTTTTTGTTGTTGTTCTTTTCTTTTTTTTTTTTTACATAGACACAATCGCCATTATATATAAAACAAACTGATGTGCATATCAAAAGAAAGAAAAAGAAAAACAATAATTCAAGTACACATATACAAACACATGAAGTGGAAGACATTGAAACAAAAATTTTTTTTGGAATGTAATCTACTAAGTAGATTCAAATTGTTAATCAAACGACGAAAACAAAACTAAAATTCAATATAATTATTATACAGTCTGTAATGCCGAACAAAGTGTTGTCGGGATTGAGTTTGATGTTCGAAGTGATGCACATAATGATGATGATGATGATGATGACGATGATGACGATGAACTGGAAAATGTTGGTGAAGAATTTGATGATGAAAGAGGTGATGATGTTGCTTGTGGTATTGGCATTGATGGTGAAATAGGTTGACTTGATGTTAATCCTTCAAAATGACGAAATATTAATGCAACGTAATACATCACACGTTCCCAATCAGGCCATTCAGATGAACACATTTCTTCAACATCCTAATAAAAAGAAAACAAATATTATACATATAAAAAAAAGCCCTTATTCTTTTTACCAATATTGATACAATTCCAACACTACTTGCAACATTAAAAGCAATTTCAAAACGTTTTTTCTAAAGAAATGAAAAAATAATAATAGTAATAACATGAAATAGAATATTTATTTTTAATTTACTTTTGATTCATTTTTAATTATATCAAGATCAATACGATCAGGTAAATAAGAATGTAACAATGAACAAAATGCAATACCATCTGTCCATGAATTTGAAAAATTTGTTATTGATATTCCCTATTAAAATTTTTAAATAAGAATAAATATTATTTTAAAACATTAAAAATTTACATAGTTTGCCAATTTTTCACTACACCATTTTAATAAAGCATCACGTTTACAAACACTTCCTGGCATTCGTGCAAAAACAGCTTCAACTATTGATTTCATTTCATCATATTGTTCACTATAATTAAATTGTAAAAAAAAAGACTTTTTATAAAATTAAATTTATACTTTGTAATCGATCGAAGTGAAATATCTGATCGATGGCTAGTATTTATGCAAGATGATGATGGTGGAGAATTATGTTTTCGTGTTGTTGATAAAAGTTTAGCATCATCGGTCGTTGTACCAAATTGTCGATGATGATTATTTGTTAATATAGCATTTGTTTCTGTACGTGTACATGGTTGTGATAAAGGTCGTTGACGAATTGGAGATTCGATATGATTATTTAATGCATCTAAATAAAGATAATAAAGAATGAATTTTGTTTTTTCTTAAACAAAGATTGATATTACTATTTCGTGAATTAGCTTCTAATGTTCGAATCATTTCTTTTATTCTTATATGACCGACATCTAAGATATTTAAAAAAAACAATTAAAAATTAAAAATAAACTCAAATATTTTACCACAAAATCCGTTATTATTTCGACTTGTTGGTGGTAATTGCATCTAAAGAAATAAAGAAAAATCTTTTTTATATATGTCATATTGAAACTAATCCAATAGATTCAACACTTTTCTTTTTGTTATAGTGAAACCTATGAAATTTTGTCAGAATTGAATACAAAGAGAAATGCTTTCTCATTAAAAAAAAACTAGCAGCCACTACTCCATTTCTATCTTCGCAAGCATATGTCAAAAACGTTTAAGTTGATAATGATCAGATTACATTTTCCTCCGAACGAAATGATTTCTGTTTGAATTGATATAAATATATACTTATTAGAGATGGAATCGATTCAGTTCTAAACCAAATAAAAATCAGTTGAGTTCAAACTTTTAAAAACGGGATCGATTTGATTCCAAAAAAACAACGCCAAATGATTTCATCCCTGATATTTATACTCTTTCGTTTTATTTTTTTTCTTGATATATATGACTTTATATGGAAAGTAGTCTTTTTCCATAAAGAAAATCGATTTCTCCATCGACTAATCCTATTTTCTATACTGCTGCACGAAATTATTGATTAAAATCATAGTTAAAACTATATGACACTACATAGGCAAACAAAGGCTTATACCTGATACTAGAAAATATCCGTTGATAGATTAACTGATATTTTTGTTTTATTCTTTCACTACATATATGAATTCTGATTAAAAAGAAGCTTGAGTCATTTTTAGAAGCGTTATTAGGGAGTCTTCACGTCCTTTGCCAAAGTAATCAAGACAAGGACTAAACTCGCCTCAAAACTTTTTCTTTTTACCTGTCTTCGTTGAACTTCTTTATTAATTGCTTTTTCTTGTTCAATATGTTCTGTAACACGTTTAAGATCATCTGTAGCTTTACTTAATCGATCTTCGGCATCTAAAACAATACATAACAAAATTTATGTATATAAATATTGACAATCAAAATGAATAAATACCATGTCGCATTTCACTTGCAACTCGTACAGCAATTAACATATCAGCTAAAGTTTCATCTTTTTCAATAGTAACTAATTCAAGTTGTTTTTTTGTATCTGCTAATTTTTTTTCTACATCTTCAATTTGTGTTGATAATAAAGAATTTTTTTCTCTATATTCAGCTATTTTTTCTTCATAATCATCTTCTTTATCAATTAAAGCCTTTTCTAATTTACGATTTTCTTCAATTAATTCTCCACAACGTATTGATGCTAATGCTTTATCTTTAATAACTTCTTCAATTTTGATTTCTAATTCATTAATATGTTGTTTTAAACTATGAATTTCTTTTTCATGTTTATCTTCTATCGTACGATAATTTTGTTGTAATGTTTGATATTGTTTTTGTGAATATTTTAATGTTTCATCTAATGTTGCAATTTTCGTTTCATGTTCATAACGCTGTGTACGTAATTTTTCTTGAATATTTTGTAATTCAATATCAGATAAGGCTTTTAATTTTGTAGATTCGTCAGCCTAAAAGAAATAAAAGAGAACTTTATTTTTGTTGAAATAAGAAATAATATTTTACTTTTTTTCGTTCCTGTTCAACTTGTAATTTTAGTTTTTGATTTTCTTGTTCAAGACGTTCATATGATTTTTTCATTTCATTAAAGTCATTTGTTAAACGTTCATTTTCATCAGATTTTTTTTCAAGTTTTATCTTTGAACATAAGACATTATCACGCATTTTAGCTGCTTCAGTTTCGTAATGTTTTAACTGTTCTTCTAATTTTTGTATGCGTTCATGTGTTTTCCGCTAAATAGTTTAGAACAAAAAAATGTATTTTTATGTACATGTTCTATATTTATTATACCTGTTGACTTAATAAATCATCACGTTCTTCTTGAGATTCTTGTAAAAGAGATAAGAGTTTCTTTTCGTCGTTGCTATGTTCTTCTTCTAAATTATAAAAAAAAAAAGAATTTTAATTATATATGTATATATTTCCTTTGGTAAAACTTCTATTCTATGATACGTAAGTATGCCTTCCTTGGGATTTATGTGTTGTATGATTATTTACCATTTCTTATCATTTGCTCCAATTGTTCATTCTTTTGCTTTAGATTACGTAATTCATTCGAACGCTCATCGACAATAAAACACAATTGATCACGGTCCTTCTTACCGTTCGCCAATTGTTGTTCCTGCTGTTTGATTATCGCCTGCATACCACACACACATAAAAAAGAAGAAAAAAAAGAGAATGAGAGACAAAGATTAACACTTGTAGTATGTGTGCATGATGTAAAGACAAAAGAAAACAAAAAGAAATAAATGAAGAAAAAAACCTCTATATATTCCCTTATTCAATAGTCTCACCTGACAATCAGTGAGTTCGCGTAAAATAGCTTGAATCTTTTCATTTTTTGATAATGATTCATCTGTTAAAGCTTTAAGTTGTTGTTGTTGTACATGATGATCATGTTGATTTAATTGTAATGGTGGTGTTTGAGTTTGAATTGAATTTGTTAATATACGACGTTTTGTGTTGTTGTGATATGGTTGTGATACAGATTGTTCATCAAAGAGGATTGTTGGTGTTCGTTTATTTGTTATTGATGTTGGTCGTGCAATCGATGGATATGATGATGTTGATGTAGGTGATGTATTATTATTATTATTAGTATTTGCTTGTCGTTGTTTTTCATGTTTAACTTCAATTTCAATTTCACTTTTATGACGTATCTCAGCCCGACTGGTTGGTACTGAACCTGTAAAATTTGTCGATTTTATTATAGAACTACCTGATTCAGGAGTAGTAGGAGTAAGAAGAGTATTGTTGGTCGGTGTATTTGAAGCTGAAAAACATGAAGAAAAAAAAACAAAAGATTAAAATAGTTACATATAGTTTACTCTTGTTAGTTTAACTCTATTTTTACCTTGAAGCATTGGTTATCATCTAAGCTTATGTTATGAAATCTTTTATCTTGCCTTAAACACTTATTCTTTTACTAAAAATAAAATGAATTGATCTTTAGTTTTTTCGTCTTCTTCTTCTTCTTCTTCTTCTTTTTCTTCTTCTTTTAATTTACAACTTAAATGGTAACTCTGACCTTCAATGTATAGGAGATGACTTTTAACATGATAAAAATGATTATATTACACGATATATATTTTTATGATGAATTGACAAGGGAAAAAAACTATCGTACTAAAAAATCAACTCTTACTTTTGGCAAGAGACAAACTTAGTTTTTATTATTCTGATTGTTATCTACTCAAATGATTTCAACATGTACGATCGATATATGTACCGAAAAGATTTAAAATATAATATAACGCTCGAAGCTATAGACAATCTATAATTGAAAAGTGTTGGCTTGATGTACTTTTCTTTTTTTTTTTTCTTGTACGAATTCTTTATTCTGTGTTCTATATTTATTTTTTTACCGTATACTCGTTGTTGTCGTTTAATTTGATGCCATGTTACTGAGGACGGATATCTATCACGTCTGATCGGTATCCATAGATAAGGTTGTAATGAACAATAATTAGAGACAGTAATCAAATTGTTACTTAACATGATAATATCGACTTTTTTTGCATTTATTATTAACTCACTTATTTCTTGTTCTTCCTCTTCTTTTTTTTTTTTATTGTGTTATATTATTCGGCTATACAGGTTTTACACTATTACTTGTCACTATCTCAATTGTTTCAGGGTCAATCATTGATACTTTTCTTTATCATTACGTCAAATCTTACTATTGACTCTTATTCTCACTCTTTCCTTTTCCTTTGTTATGTATAAGGATATAAATACAAACATATCATACGATAAGGTCAGAACAATTACTATAGTGAATACATATATTACTCTACTATATATGTGTATATACCTACAGAAAAAGGTGTACAATGAGCCTTGACAAACAGGCACAATAGGCTATATACTGTCGCCTATCAAAATATTTGTAGTAGTTACTTGGTTGGTGTCACAAACTACCTTCGATTCATCTTTCATTGTAACTCGTACTACATATGAGAGTAAAAAAAAGAGAAAAAAAAAAGAGTACGATTTGTTTCATATTACACGACTGATTATTCGAACGAGATAATGACACGTAGAGACATAATAAAATGAATAGCAATCTAACATGTATTCGAATTGGATCAATATCTAGTATTTTTGGCTGTTATCTATGATCAATATACATACTTTTATCAATAAAATCTAATTTTTTTCCTATTACAATTCAACTGAAACACATACTCGATACGGCCTTAAAAGTTATATGGAAGTATTTATTCGTCACCTCAACTTCCCATATAAACTACAAATGACGTTGTAATGAACTAGTCCATACATTCAAGGATTTCTTCTTCTTTCTATCGTTTTTCAACTATCTACAATGGTGATGCAATCAAACTAGTATGTAGATAAATATAAATATAAATATATACATATATATACAAAGAAATCGAATATGATGAAGGATTAACAAGAGACAATGTCGCCAACGATATGATATTGAATATCATATATGTTTAAGGACTCAACTTACTCGTTGGTATAATACAACAGATGTCGGGTAATAAAAGAAGCTGAGAATCTTCAGCTGATTGATGAGTACAATTAAGTGACGGTGATGATGATGAACAAGATGATGTATTTCGACGTTTTTTAATTGTTATATAGATTGTATGACAAAAAGATAAAGCATCTGTCGAATGCATAACCTTCTTCGATATAGATTTATTTGGTAATGTCGGGAAAAAAGATGATGATGAAGGAGTTGGTGAACTATTTAACATAGACGAATTCAATAACGATGATGATAATGAACAGTCTTTTCTTTTATTATTATAATAAAAGGAATTTTGTTGTTGTTGATTAAATGTATCCATTGGACGAAGAAATTTTTCTTCTTCGTACGGTGAATAATAAGGAATTAAATTTTCATAAAACATTTTGTATATATATATAATTAATATGAGAAGATAATTAACGATAATATTCTTCTTCTCTTAATAAATAAGTTTATTACTGTTAAAGTTCAATTAATATGATAACGAGAAAGAAAAAGTCAAGAAAAATAAATAAATAGTAGAATAAAAGCGAAATAAATAAACTGTTACTGTATTTAACTAATCAAACAATCGTCTTATCAACAATGCATTCGATCTGTCTGTATGTATGTGTTAAATATTGTACCAGTCAGAAGTCCATAGAATGTTAAAGAGTTGATAATTTAGACAATCATGCGCGCGGACGCGCCACCCGAAAATGTATCGTATATTTCGAACAACGTTCGATGCACCACCAGAACGCAAAGAGAAAAAAAACTGTATATGTATACACATCTATAACTATCACTCTCTTTCTTAGTATACCTAGTATACATACTATGGTGAATTGAGCCTTTAATGATGTTACATAAGATAGAATAGCGAGTGAAGTATAGCGCGAAAAAATGAAATCAATTTTGTTTTTCTTACTGACTGAATACAACGTCGTTTTTTCATGTTTCATATAATGATCAAACGAACGAAGACAAATATCGTTTTAAGACAAAATTTGACAACTAATGAATATATACTATATGAGTAAAGCAAGAAAAAAAAGAACACTAAAACACAATGATTATTATAAAATGAATATTTTTGTAGATTTTCAAGTATGTCAAAATCTCTTTTCGATTAAAAATTAAAAAAAAAATTAATCATTATTATCTTGAGTTTCCATCATCATCATCAATTAAATATCTAATTAGTATAGCCGATAAAAAAAAATTATATGAACATTTAAAAAAAAAAGGAAAAGAAAAACAGTATCTTTTATTATTGTTACCTTGAGTTAAATAGATGAAAAATACTGAACATGCTGATGACATTAGTTAATCTTCAATGATTATTTGAAACAGATTTTATTCATAAAAAAAAGAAAAAAAGTGAAGAAATAGTCTATTTCTATAAGCTTAACAATAATTGAAAAAAGATGAATGTGAACTCTTTTTACTTAAAACAGAAGACATCTACCCTATCTTTTCTTTTTTTTTCTCATTCGTCATCGGATTGATTGAGCAAATAGACAGGTTTACTTGTGTTCTATTATATCATACATATATGTATCAATGTATATTGAAGAACCAATGGATTATTATTCTGATGAATTAGATCACATTACGAACCTCTATTGAGCTTTGGATGCTTCCATTTAAAATAGTACATTTAATAAGAGCAATGAATAGAGTTGACGAGTACAATATAATGATATGATGCACATAGACAGTGAATAGTGCACAATGATAATTGATAAATAAAAGAAAAAAAAGAAAAGAAGACGAAAGAAAAAAAAGTAAATGTGATCATCGGTTCACTCGAAATTGAAATGTCAGGTAGACGATGACGATATTGTATTATTTTAAATGGGATGTGAATGTCTCGTCTTTTCTTTGTGTGAGAGTCAAACAACAATTATGATTTGTTTTCCATATCTGTAGCATGAACACACACACACACACACATATATATACATACATACATACAAACACATATATACACAAACATACGTAGACATAAATCTCCTCTATTCAATTCGAAGGCTTAATGCTCTAATTGGCTACTGCCGACAAAATACAAAGAATGAACCACTTGAAGAAAAGAACAGAATTAGTAATACACCAAAACAATAACAATTAATCCGTCTTCAAACATTCGGGCCAATTATCATAGAAACAACAATTTTGCTTTAGGCAAAACAAAGGTTCTTGTCTCACTAAAATGCTAAATTAAGTACGTGTAAATGGATATTTCTTTTTTTTTTATAGTTAATGATGATCATCAGGCAAATGTATACGTGTTCATATGAACGTGATGAACGTCACAAAAGTAAAATGTCATTAAACTAATGTTTACTATGTAAAATTGTACGACATGTACACCTTGCAAATGTCAGCCGGCCAGTCAGACTATTACTATTAGCCCTTTACCAAAAAAAAAAAGCTCGTGACCGTAAATGAATCATGAATGTTGTAATAACAATGGCAAGGACAAAAGAAAAATGTTATTTTTTAATTTTTTTTACCTTTGTGAACAACAGTTGATTGTGATGACGGAGGTGGAGATGGTGGTTGAGGGAGTTTTCGAAATCGTCGAAAAAGACGCATTATAAGATATGATTATTGAAACGAAACAATACGATTGTCGTTACTAATACCGCTAGGAAAGAAAAGTTTGCTGATCAGCTTTTAGTTCGATCTATATATATATATATATGTATAAGCGTATGTTGTTTTGGCGAGTGTGATGAAGAGCGAACGAGAGAGAGACGAAAATGCAGAAGAGAAGAGAAACGTAATGTGTACATCTATGTACAGAATAAGAAGAAGAATAGAAAATGGAGCAGAATTGAGGTGAAAGCTTGTCTCTTTTTCTCTCCCCTTTCTTTTCAGCCATTTGTGTGAGACATATAATACACAAAACAAGGTCGGCTCAGACAACGGTTCTTGTACTCACACGTGTCCCTCTGTAATACAACGCTTGATTGAACGCGCACGTCCTCGATTAAATACTCTATAATATATTATCACATTAAAGAATATAAAGAATAATCGTCTATCATTTCGAAAAATCGATATCAAATTTATTTTGAAGTATATGTGCTTCAGATATCTATTATATCACCATATTCAATCAATAGATCGATTTCTTTCTTTTTCTTTTCTTTTCTTTTCGATTGAATTGTCTTGAATTTTGTATAGACAAAACTTCGCTGCTATCATCTCTATTAATTGAACTTCCTGCTGAGTGACTCACTTTGTCAACAAGAATAATACTCAGATATAATTTATATACGTCTCATGTATAGATAAGAATAGTTATATTGATCGATGATGATTACAAATAATTTTTGAAACAATTGAAAATTTCTTTTAGATTAATTTTTTCTTTTTTATATATAATTTGTTAAATTTCTTATTACTTACATCTTTGTTGTTGAGCAAATATTTCAAGTTCTTGAATACTTTTTTTTAATAAATCATTTTCAATGAGCATCTCTTCAAGTCGAGCATTTAACATTGTTTGTAATTGCATAGCTTGTTCAATAGATTCATTTGATGGTGTAGATATACTAGTACGTTTTTTTTCAATATGTTGTCGCATTGTTTCGAGTTCATCAGTTTTGATTTTTAAATCATGTCTCAATTGATCAATGATTTGTTGAAGAGCTTGAACATTTGAATTTTCATTTGATAGATCATTAATGGATGATTGTTGTTGTGAACGTTTAATACGAAAAAGACTAAAACGACGACGTAATACAGATGTTGAATTAAGTGAAGTTTGTGGTGTTTGAATAGGTTTTGTTTCAAAACCATTTAAAGCTGTTTGAGATTTTTTCATTTTAGTTGTTTTATTTGATTGTTTTGGAGATTGATGTTCAATATTTGATAAAGATTCAGAACTTTTACTAACTAATTTTGAAGACTTTATAGGAGAAGCTATTTGATAAGAATGATGAGATGATGATGATGATTTATTTGTCGCCATTTATTATATTATGAATTAGAAAAAACGATGATGACCTAGAAGAAAAAAATAAAACTAGAGAAAGCAATTAAAATAAAGTAAATTTACGTGATAAAGAAATGTCTTGTTTTTATCGAGTTTTAGAGAAGAAAAAAAACTAGGTATAAATTTCCTAAGATTTCATCATTGGTTTTGAAATCTAACTAAGACCATATGTCGTGAATGGAAGAAAAGATATACTACTAAAGCGTGTAAATAAACATATGAATAAATGGATGACTACTGGAAAAATACTTATCGACTTTTTCTTTCTTATAAAATAATTACTGAAATAGGATCAGTTGAACAGATGGTTTCTTACACACGTATATAAGCTTTCACAACTATGAACATACATTATTCATAGAACGTGTTATAATCAATCTGCGAAGTATTTTCTTTCTTCAATATGGAATATATGGATTCTGTTCTACCATTGGGATCAGCTATACATCTTATTGAATATATGCATACTCTATTGATGACACAACTCAAATACTTCCAATAGTACAACTTCCCTTTTTCTATATATATATATATATATATATATACATACAAAGAATAGGTCATCATTGTATTCATCACTTCATTAAACATATCCATACAATGCCTATATTACGAATCTCATATAAAAGCGAATGGACAACGTCCATGAAACTTGCCAATGTATAGAACGCGAAAAACGACACTCTGTACATTGTATACAAAAAAGGCAAACAAGATGATCTCTCTCATATGATCTTGAATACATATGATATGTCATTTACTGATAAACAAATGTATACAATACATATACCTGTTCTACATTTTTCTTTTTCTTTTTTAATCAAGATAATATCATTGTTTGAAAGAAGCTTACACATATGTGTATGTTCATACAATTAGATTCTCTATATATGTTTTGATCTCTCTTTCTAGTTTGTATGATGAACATATGGTCTCATCATCATCGTCATAGTCGAAAACAATCATAACGATATGAATAGAAAAAGAAAGCTATGAAGCGTAAAACAACTGTACATAGTAATTAGCTTGAATATCAATGCGGAAGAAATCGAGAAAAAAAAGAGTACGAGAGGAAATGAAGGTAATTTATTTATAGGCGAATAACTTTTTTGTTAGCCTATAAACTTCAAAAAGATACCGCAATTTACTAACTATGCCTTGGAAAAAAAAACACATCAGACAAATGCTCATAAGATCAGTAAGGCGAATAAATAAAAGAAGAAAATATATTCGATTTTTTCCTCTTGTTCTCAGTGATCCCAATCAAATTATAATGATGATGTTTTCCATCATCATCATCATCATATTCTTGTTACATTAATATAATGTGTTTTCATGTGGCATCTATCGTATTCCTGATCTAAGTAACTATTTCTCATGGGCATCTTTTTTTTTCTTGACCCAAAGAAAAACAAAAGGTTACTTTCAAGATTAGGCATCTTCGATTATTCAATAATAATTCATTGATTTTCAATACAAGGTTATTGATTAGTTGAGCACTAGACGAAGGAGTAGAAGAAAAAAAGCAAGAAATGAATATGATGATTACCGTCGACGAGAGAAATAAGCAATATGGCCTTCTTCTCATGCAAAAATCATAAGCTACTCTTAGTAACTACTGTTAGGAGAAATGAATGACTAATTGAAAATGACCTCGAACCGGAAGAATAAGTACTTATTCATGTCTATCTTTCAACACCAAAAGATAAAGTAAAAAACAAAAAATCTCAATGTATCAATCAAATCTTGAGTATATACCCACGCACACAAGAGGAAGAAAACTTTCTCGGTTTTTTTTTCTTATATGTGTTACTCAATGATACACTTAAAGAATTAATGGAGATGTTAGAAGTTTTTAAAAAAGAAAAGAAAAGAAAAATCATCATTTACCTTCATTGAAATTTCGAAGGTCATATATAATTTGAAGGTGTGTCCAGTAATACTTATAACATCAATTACTGTTCTAGAAAAGAAATTAAATCAACGAGAAAAAGAAGAAATGAATCAATCGACATCTACTATAATTAAAATCATCATGACCACTACCATTTGTTCTCTCTCTCATACATAAAGAATATGAGAAGAAAATGAAGTCTTTGAACCTATGTCGATGACACACACCAGAACAGTATACACGTGTATGAACAATGACAGTAAAAAAAAGCGCACAGAAAAATAATCGAAATAGAAAAAAGAAAGAAGTGTGAACAATGTGCATTCAATAGAATAGTAATCACCATGTTAAACTAAAGTGAAAAAAAAAGAGAGGCAGCTGTTACTATTGTCGATTGACCACACATATATTCATGATACAAAAAAAATTTTAAAAGGACAAAAAAAAACGAGGATTAAGAAAGAAAAGACGAGACGAAAGGTCATCAGTCGTTCATCGAAGAATTTTATGTTTACATATGAAAAGGCACACGCACATATACTCTCGTATCGATAGAATATATACATGCACGAGAACTTAATCACTTCAAGTGAGAAGACTTTTTTGTTTGACTTTGATGACATGTACAATTTCCTTCTTATACTTCTCTCGATTTCGTATGGTACACTTGAGCGTTTATTCAATGTTACGAAAGACCACGACCAAGCAAAAGTAACTGCCATGTATAAAACAAAAAAAAACACTATGAAATTAAAGAAAGACGAAAGAACAAGGAAGGTAATATACGTATTTAAAAAAAGTGTTCATCAACTTTTTTTTTGTTTGCTTTTGATCAAACCCTTTTTTTAAATGTATCCATGAAAAGATTTGATCATATGTATATATATATATATATATATATATAAAACAGATATTGCCAATTTGGACTTTTCTAGTCTGTTTCATATATAGTAATTATCAAAGTAATGTTCCGTAGCCAATGAATGACATTACTGCCGTTCAAGCGTATAGGAATCCATTTTGATGAAGACGAGAAGGTTAATGACAAATGATTCTTTTTAATGCGCCATGTTCTATAGAAAAAAAAATTCACTAATATTCTTTGTTTTTTTTTTCTTGTTTTAATTTGTTCATATTTCGACAATAAAATGAATTCAGTATTGAAAATACTTTTTCAACAAACAGAAAATCTTCTTTCTCTGACAAAAACAAGTATACTCATATATCAAGTACAAAAAAATCTTACAAGCGATAATATCAATATATTAGATATTGAGAAAAAAGATCAATATCACTGTACATTTTCATATGATTTATGTAATGAACTTCGATTGATACAAAAAAATTTACATTCAACTTGTTTTTTACTTCAACGAATACTCTATCGTGTTCAAGCATTACGACAAACACGTGGAGAATTATCTATTCAAATTGATAATAATCTTATTATTAAATATAAAGAAAATCTTTCATATGAATTAGATAATATTCAAGAAAAAATTTTATTAATTATAAATGAAAATATGTTAAATAATTCATCTTTAAATACTCTTCAAATATTATTTAAACAAATTAAAGAAAATCTCGAAATATTTCTTAATTATATGTATTGCATGCCAATACATAAAAGTACAATTTATCTTGGAAATTTAGTTTCAAATACACTTGAAAGATTTTATTTAATACTTGGTAGTCTCGCTCGACTTATTGAGGATATCGAAGAATTTGAAATGAAATAAAACAGTGAAACATAAAACTAAAAATGAAAAATAAAATAAAAAAAATTTAATCTTCAATATCATTCGTTGGATCAATAAGAATATCATTCATTGAATCTCCAGCTACTGTTCGAGATAATTCTTGTGCAAGTTTATCATATTCACGTTCATGATTATGTGCAAATTCAGCACCTTTCCGAATCTTTAAAAGCAAAACTATCATATTGAAAACATTACAAATTAAAAATTATACTTTTGCTTTTTTTCGAAGATTAGGTGAAAGTTTAAGACAAATAGTCCAACCACTAATACAAATAAAGAAAATAAAAGTAGCCGATGGATAGAAAGGCTTGAGATAAAATATTTGTTTGTTTTTGGCTTCCTGGAAAGGATTCCTTTGGATTTGAAATTTGAGACTAGTGAAGGAAAATTTTTGGAGTCTCAAAAAATTACGTTGAACGGGGTGAACCAACAGGCTTTTGATCGCTACTCTAAATTCTTTTTCGAGGGTGCCATTAAATATGAGAGCCTGTTGTTTGTTCAGTGCACGCTTGTTTAAACAATTTTATATTGAACCAACCTGTATCTTTTACCTAACTGAGTCTAAAAACATTTTTCACGAGTTTCTGTCAACATAAAACAATGGATCATGAGCATTTAAAAGAAAAGAAGCAGAGGTGATCTATAGAAAAATAAAAAACTGATGGTAGATTTTATAGAGTAGCGTCTGCTCAACAAGCTCATATATTAGTAAAGGTTTCAACATTTACTTTCGAGTTGCAATAATCAAAGTACAAAAGTGTGCGGTGAAAATTTCCGTCAAAACTACTTTTTCAGCTTTTCAAAAGGTGATCTCATTGATGTGAGGAAAAATTTCTCTCTGCTCATAACTCATAGCTTTTCACTTTTCGGACACACTTTCAAAGCAATCGAAAATAAACAAATATTTTGTCTCAACAATTTGGTCCTATCTGTTAATAATAATAAAAAAGAATACAGGTTGATTATGTGATTTTTAATCGTGTTGTTCAGTTTACTGTAATTTTACAAAATCTCGAAAATGTCTTATTTGAACATCGTTGAATAGAACATCAATCACTTTATTGAACTATATATTTTTCATTGGATGTATTCTGAGAAGAAACTCAGTCGACTTCAAGATTGACGTCTTTGCTGTTCCTCTCTCGGTCTGTTCTTTAACTTAACTGTAAATTTGTTCATTGTTTGAAAAATCTTTTTGTGAACTTTTCTTAGAGACTGTTGTCTGTTTATCTTCAAAAGTTTTAATGACTTGAATCTGCGAAATAAAGTTCCTTTCATATGAAACTAGATAAAACGTCAGGTTCTGTATCAATTATATATAACTTTGATTAAATATGTGTCAAGTCTTACACGAAAAATTTTGAGAAAAATAAAATAAATTTGATTTTAGATAAATACGAAAATAGTCCAAATTTTAACAGTGAAATTAAACCTTCTTTTGAATTTCAAATCCGTTCTGTTTCATATTTTCTAATACGTTCTAAGTTAATAGATCTCTTTCATCTGAAGCAGGTTTCGTGATTCACAAATTCAGTTTCAATGAAACATATGCATAAAAAAGTTCCGTTTCACTGCTTTCCAGAGTTTGTCAAATTTTCGGACAAGATGCAACAATGAATCAAATGGGAACTGTATAGTTCTATTGAACAATCGATGCTCTATCTAACTGTGTCAAAAGAAAAAATATCGAAATTTTTTTGATGAATACAGTAAACTGATGAGGAAGGCATCCTATATACCACCTACCGTTAGAGCTCATATTGAGCTCACAGACAGATTTCAGTGAGAATAACAGAAGCCTAAAAGGATTTCCTTATTGGCTTTTGTCACCGAGTTGTAATCAGTTTAGCAGATAGTTCTCACAATGTCAAATAACAAAAAAACAGATCTAAATTTTGGCGTTTGCTTTTCCGAGAACGACTTACTTAGCTGTTCATAATTGGGTGACAATGCCTAATGAAAATGAATCCTGTTAGACTTTTGTTAGTCTCACTGAGACTTGCCTGTGATTTCGATATGAACGCCAACGGTGGGTGTCAGTTGAGGAGGATTCCTCGTGAGTATAACTATCGAAAATAATGTAGGCATGCTATATTTATACTAAAACTTACGTTTGATCACCAACTAATAAAATTGGATGAATAGGATTAAAAGCAATTTTTGTACATGCTTTTCCTGATTCATTTGCTAATAGTTGCTCACAAATTGGTTCCAGTTTATTTGAATGAATATCAAATATATAGACTTTGCCATCTGCTCCAGCTATAGTAAACATAGTAGATGTATAAGGTGACCAAGACATATCTTGTAAACTTGTACATAAATCAAATCTCATTAAACATTCACTAAAATAATACCAATAGGTTGTCTTATATGTTTATTTAAAAAAATACGAACGTAATTTTTTCATGCCATATTTTTACTGTTCCATCAGCAGAACATGAAGCAAAAATATTCGGATGAAAAGGACTATGGAAAAATAAGATAAGATTAATACAAACTATAATAAAAAAAAAACAAATCAAAACCTCCATTGAATACAATAAATAGCAAAATCATGAGCATCAAATATCATATCAATAATTCCTGGATCATTAGTCGATGCTTTATATATCTTGCCATCTTCTGTACCAACAAGAAATATATCTTTTCGATTACGATGAAAATCAAATGCTATTGCTGGACCTATATATTTATATTAATATCAAAAATTGGATTTGTTTCTAATTTTGTTTTCTGAATATACCTGGTAACGATAGAAGAGTACCATCATCAAGTCGTGTAGCTTTCGTTGCACTTGGTAAATCAAGTAAAAGTATTTGTCTTAATTCACCTTTAATACATGTCCATCGCATCACTTTTCCATCAGCACCAATAGAAAAAAATCGAGGTTGATGATTAGTAGATAAATTACACCATCGAACCTTATTAAATATTAATTAATTTGTACCAAAAAACAAAATATTTTAACTCAATACTTGCCAAACACATCCATAATGTTTACACATGTAAGATGTATTTGTAAAAACAGCTTTACCAGATGGAGTTGATATATCATAAACAATCACATCACCATCCATTAATCCCACACATATAAGATATCTACAATAATTGTGAGGAAAGAAAAAAAGAATGAAATATGAGAAAATATTTCGTAAAAATATATTACGGTTTTGAAGGTAAACAATCAATAGATAATACAGTACTTTCAGTATGAATTAAAGTATCTGGGTGATTATTGTTCAATGTGAATACAGCAATAGTACCTTGTATTCGTTCAGCTTGATCATCTTAAAATATAGTGAAATGAGAAAAATATATGTTGCCTTATACAGAAAATATTACAAAGTCCATATCCAATTATTAACATATCGGAATAAGCTGGATTCCATGTTAATGCCGTAACAGATCGATTAGAAAACGATGGTGGAAATTTCCATAATGGAAATAATGTACCCATCGGATCACGTACTTCATCTGTTTTATCTTCAAAATACTTGAAATCTATAGAGAAAAAAAAGATTTTGCTATGTAAATAAATTTATATACAGGGGATGGCGAAATTATAGACCTACTCCCCCTGCAGTAAATGCAAAAACATTAACTTTCTATTTTGAAGAGAGGTCTGTTTGTTTAATTCATATATTTGGTAAAAACATGGATATATGTGATATACTGATATGTCTTTATTCTTTGTTTTCTTTCTTTTATACACGTACAAAAGTCGATAGAGAGAAAAAAGTACTGCGGCATAATTATAGACCCCGCTTGATTCTTTATTTCTTGTTTTCATTTCTTATAAGTTTTTCTGTTTAATAAATAGAAAGACTAATAACGGCAAGCGAAACCTCGACGATTAATTACTTGTCGAAGTCTTGTTGACATGGATTCAAAAAGTTTTCGTACTGTATCATTTGAGATCTTCAGCCATGCCATTTGCAATGCGTTTGTCAATTGTTCAGTGTTATTAATCTTAAACTTTAGAAGTTTATCATCAAGCATAGCCCAAATATTCTCTATTCAATTTAAATCAGCACTATTTGCTGGCCATGAAATAGAATGAAGATTTTTTTTTTCTTAAAATATTTTCGTGTTTTAATTGATACATATGGACGACCACTATCTTGCTGAAGTAAAATTTCATGAGATGACTGAGGTAGAAATTTTTCAAATGCTGTTGGTAAATGCTTGTTCAGTATATCAATATATTCATCTGAATTTAACGGCCTATCGTAGAAAACCAGTGGACCATGACATGTTAGATAAGACCAAACACCAATACCGCCACCTCTGTGTACCCGCTGTTGAGATCGTTCGAATTGTTTTAAATCCTTTCGAAATCGGCGTATATAAATCCGATTCTTTCGATTCAATATTTCAAAATTACTTTCATCAGTAAATATGACATTTGACCAATCTTTTTCAGTCCAAGTCAAATGTTGAAAACACCAATCAAGACGAGCACATCTTTGTCTATAATTTATTCAAGGCTTTCTTGGTGCAATATAGGAAATCATGTCGAATTCGTGGAGGATACGGTTCACTGTTCGACGACTGACAGTTAGGTTGAAACTTGTTTGAACACACCGGACAAGATCAATCAAAGAAAGAGTATCATCACGAACTTGTTGTAATTTAATTGCTCGTTTTTGACGATCTGTTAGTTTTGAATGACGTCCAGCTCCAGGTTTTGTGGCTACCGTATGAAGTTCATTAAATTTGCGAATGGTTTGACGAATACAATTTCGAGAAGTGTTCAGTCTTCGACAAATTTCGTGTTGAGACATACCACTATCGCGTAGAAGAATAATACTTTTCTTTGTAGCAATATCAACAACTTTTCGTCCCATTATTTTTCTTATGAAATTGGACAAAGTTTATCACAGTAAGTATATCATGAAAAAGTTGACTTCGAATGAAATCAAAAGAAGAAAAGAAATAAAGGAACAAGCAGGGTCTATAATTAGGCCACAACACTATTTTCTCGTTATCGATTGTTGTACGTGTATAAAAGAAGAAAACAAAGAATAAAGGCATATCAGTATATCATATAGGCATTTTGACGTTTCGTCGCTGCTTTTCACTCCGCACATCAAATGTCGTAGTCCGTTTCGAACATCCGTTTTCTTTAAAAAATCATCACTTTTATGATAACAGTATCGGATGTTCGGAATGAAAAAAATACGGATATTCGGAACGATCATCAAAAAGTAAACGGATGTTCGTAAAAATTTTTAACGGGTGTTCGAAACGGCAACCACACTCACATTTCTGTGTGACAAACTGGATAATTTTAACGGATGTTTGTAATGAAAATATAGGAATGTTTGTAAAACATTACACGGGAGTTCGGAATAGAAAACGAGGGATGTTCGGAATGGAGATCTGCTTCTTTTATTAATGCAGCACTTTAGTTTCAGTTAACCGATGTTCGGAACGCTCTTCCTTTCACAGCACAGTACACAGTATGTTAGACACATAGTTGCAATGTGAACGTGTGTACTGAATTAGAAACTTCTATGCACTCTTATTCGAGGGTGTTTCAGCAAGGAACTTTTCCCTATTACAACTCCCTGACCTGTCTACTTGCTTCGTCTTTTCATTATAAGAAATAAATGAGTTTTATTAAACGAAGAACAATATTCACAGATAAAAAGTCGAACTCTTAAGAAATACAATGGCACAAAGATAGAGAGACATTTCAATAATAAATAAATAACAAAAAACAGTGAATCTCTATCACTTCTTCTTCTCTAAACACAAACAAGTAGATACAGGCTTTTTTAGCGACAGATATTTAGAAAAAGACAGAATAACCTTTTCTTTCTCGATAGCTCTATATCTAGGTCCGTTTTGAACACCATGTGTTTTGTCTCGAACATCCCTATGTTTGCGTTCTGAACACCCGGTAGTTTCTTTTTCGAACATCTATCTTTTGTAACTCTGTCATGTGACATAATTCATTCCGAACATCCGTTGAATTTTTTTCCGAACACTCGTTGACGGACTAAATGTCAATTCCGAACATCCGGTGTCAACGATGGATGTTCGGAATGACAGCGACGAAACGTCTGGAGGTCATCATATATACCCATGTTTCTACCAAATATATGAATTAAACAAACAGACCTCCCTTTACAATAGAAAGTTAATTTTTTTGCATTTAGTGCAGGGGGGTCTATAATTTCGCCATCCCCTATATATATATATATATATATATATATGCATGAGTGTTTTGCAACTTTTCTGCGCGATTGTTACGAAAAATGGAAAGTAGATCAAAACATTTTCTGAATAGTATTTTTTATTATGTTCTATGTCTATATTACACAGCAAACGTTTCTCACCACCTTCCTGTATATATTGACCGAGATACAACTTATTTCAGTGTATGCGTTTTCTAATAACCATTTCCAGATCAAGAAGTGCAAAGTTGATCCGACAAAAAACACTAAAAATCGATGGAATTTGACAGCTGTGTTCCGAATCAGGAAGTTTTCGGTGACTTCTGGTGGGACACAGGCATAAAATCATTCGAAACAACTCAGAGACTTTTTGAATAGAATACTACTTCCTATTTCATCAATTTTCGGTGTTTCCTTGGTAGATACTATGACTTTCTTGTATCTTTTCGGAGCTCAGAATCATCAACCTGGGTTATTTAATGGTACACCCGTTTTTTGCTTACTAACATTCCACATAATAAAACTGCTTATTGATCGATAATCAACGTTTGCCACGAAAGTACAGTCACTTTTCGAAATAGAATGTGTTCAATATTATACAACTTTATTCATCGTGAATCTATACTCCTTCAAAAGTCATATGAAAAAAAAAATTCTTTCTACACACTAGTAGACCAATCACACTCTATTTGGAAAAAATACTTTTTAATTCAAAATTCATATTCTGAATAAAAGTAGGATGACTTTCTACAATGAAACGAATTCAATCGTATAAAATAATTTCTATCCATCTTCCATTATCCCCAATCGAAATACGACATGAAAAATGATGTTGTACAAAGTGAATAAAAATCAAAATTCTAGAAAAAGAGTGCTTTTTTTCACCGAATAGGAAAGTCACTCAAAAGAAGTTTATTCTTATTAGTTGTATTTTTCGAAAAACGATTTTTCTTTCAAACAACTTTATTGTTTTTCAGTTTGTGCACATACAAAGAAAATGAAAAAATAATGTCATTGCACACGAAAACGAAAAATTGTCTGTCATACCATATTTCGGACGAACAGACTTTAAAAGAGAAAAACAGGATTTGACAGAACACTTCAAACTCTATAGAATGCACTTTATCCGTATCTTTTTTTTCGATTCTCAGAAAACTTCTTTTTCTTATTGTATCTCTCTGTAAAATACTATTTTTACACAGTGTGAATCTTATCAGTCAGCAATGGTTTGAGCTCGAGAGTTGAAGATTGCTGTGGGTATGGAATCTTTGGGACCTTTAACATATGGGCCATTTGAGGCAAAACGGGAAATACGCATCTTTCATTTGCTTTGATTCTCTACGCGAGGACTTTTTATCTGAATGAGTTCTTTTAGCATAGACACATGTAAACATGTTGGCACTTTCAGCTGACGATTAATTAAAAAGTAGTAATTGGCTAATATTTCTCTAACCATACGTAGCATGCATCCGAAAATTTCAGGACAGACTCTGAGATATCGATGAAGTATCGAAAAAAAGATGTTTATCTCATCATTATCTAGAGATTTTGAAGAAGAATTTGTACCGTTTAGCATTGGTTTTGAACTTCTTATTCGGTTATAACAGTATTTATTTGTACTCCGCGACGTCACTATCAAAAAGTAAATCAATTCTTTTTAAAAACCTAGGCATGATCAGAATAACATTTTCGATAAAGATTCTGTAGCCTTATGAATTATCTAGAAAATGTATTGTTTGGTTTTCAAAAATGCCGTCTCAATCAGGAGCTTATTTTTAAACAAAAACACATAAACTGAAACTCAATGTTCTTTTTGATGTTATGATTTTCCTGATAAATTCTCTGAGCAAAGTTCTCTTGCACTGATTTATTCAGGGAATTTAGGATAACTTAAAATACATGTAACATATAAAAATTAGCCTTAGAGAAATTCCTTATGTCAAGATATACGTGTTTAAGTTTTGCGAAATCATGCCGCTAGAAAATGATTTGACTTATATTAAAAAAATTATTGAAACCAACCGACGAGAATTAGGATTATTAGTCGAATACAGGTAAAATCTCAATCGCGCTAGAAAGTTGCAATTCATTAAATATATTGTATTTTACTGAATATTAATTCTTGATATCGATTTTGATTCAATACACGTTCAATTGCTTTTAAAATTTGTACTTGATGACGTTTAAGAATCGTCTTAAAAAGGAATTAATATCGAACAAAATAAACTATATAGATTTATTCAAACATACTTCTGGTTTAAGACGATCAGTTTTAATAACTTTTTTTTCTTGTGTACCTTTATTCGATCCATAATTTATTCTTTGTTTTCGTTTATTTTTATCTTTTTGCTAAAAGAAAAATATTCTATTTTACAGGATAAAACTATTTTATCTACTTGTTTTTCATAATCAATTGTATATTCTTGATAAATAATTCGTTGGTTTGCTAGACCAACAAATTTTTTATTTATTATTGGATCAGTTTGAATTGTAACATCCTATATAAATATTTATTTTATTTCATAAATTAGTGAATGACAAACTTTTTTCGGTATTGAATATGTTTGTATGCCTTGTTCACAAAAATTAAAACGATTAAGTATTTTCTTAGGTTTCTCAATTAACGATGAAGTTTGTGCGTGTGAAATTGATGTCTAAAATTTTAGTGGATCTTGAATTTGTTTTTTTTATTAAAAATTTACTAAATCATCAATAGGTTCATTGAGTTCACTTTGTTCGGTTATTTCACTTGTAATAGTTTGTTGTTCTTCTTCATCGCCTGTTGGTTGTGCAACTTTATAACAAAAAAATTATTGCGACACTTACATTTTTGTTTTCAATAAAACAGAGAACAGGGACGATGTATAAGATCACAAACGGGCTCATTCAGAGTTTCCACTAGTGGCGGAGCCAGGGGTGGCTGGGGAGAGGGCTCAGCTCCTCTCAGGAACCTTTGAGCCCCCTCCCCCAGGCAAATTTTTAAAGCATGTATTTTATTCGCCAAAGAGAGCTCAACGGTCCCTCAGATGGGGCTGAGCCCTCCTCAACTCAAAATCCTGGCTCCGCCACTAGTTTCCACATAAAAATTACTCAGCCATGAGTCGAGAGTTGTGTCTAGTCATTATGCCTCATTATATAGCCTTCATTTGCTACCCATGAAACTCATTGACTGAAATCGACCCATTAGATATACTAATTTATATTATTCGAGTAAGGGATATTACGTCATATAGTGCATCAATATCGGTAGCAATAAGTATATCGCTGACAGGACAGTTGATCTTCCTCTCTTATTTTTAATTTAAAACACTTTTGTTTATATAACAAACGAGAAGACTTTTGAAGTTCTACAAAATGAAACTATTGTGTAGAAATAAACTTTAGAGAAAGATACTTAATGTACGTTCACAATCTTTGTGACCACCAGAAATGGACCTTTTTCACTTCAATCTGATGTATTTCGACTAGAATGACTTGATTGGTACTCATGAGAATGATATACTTGGAATCAGAACAAAAACAACGAGTTGATTTAAACTTTTTAAAATCATTTGACAACTTTTATGTTCGTTGAAAAGTTTGACTTTGCTTCCCCCAAGAGAATTCGTCAGAAAAGGTATACGATTAAAACGTGGGGTCGCCTATGAGAAACGGACTGTACACTTTCAAAACTTAGATAAAGTTCAAAACAAAATTATGAAATAATAAAAATGATGAATTAAAACTTAATTTATTGTGAATTTCGTGGATATCATAGAAAGACCGTGTAAGTACCCACAAAGATTCGGTACAACTTTTTACTCATGACTGAGTACTTTTTATGTTGAACTTCTTAGGAGACCGATCTGTGGTCTTATGCGACGCCCTGTCCTTTTTTTGTTTTTTTTTACATTCGAAATTTTCATTCGATTGTTTGATTTCTATTGTTGATTTTTCTTTCGTTTTATAAATATCAAGTAATGCTGTTGGAAGAATTCGTGGTTTATCTACATAGAATTTTTTGTTCAAATTTTTTTCTTATTTTTTATACAAACGAAATTTTTCTTTCTGTAAATAAATTTTAGCTTCGTCAGAATCAATCGGTATAAGATTTCCTTCATATGAGTAATGTATTATAAGTTGTTCCATGTTTCCTAATGGTACAAATTGTTTATCCTATTTTAAAATTAACTTTATTTAAATCTAATGTTTCGATTTTATTCAATAAACACGTACACGATTACTAAACATGACTAAATTTTTCGGTCCATATGGATTTTCTGTTGTTAAAATGCGCGTTAATTCTTCCTCAGGATCAACGGAATCTTGAGATGATGAAAACTTTGTACGCTAGAAATGTTTAATTTTCTCTTTATGCTTTAATTAAACAATATGAAAACGAACACTCTTATCATTATGATCATGTTCATCATAATATTTTGTTGTTGAAACATCATCCAAACGGATCTATATAATAATCTTTTAAAACTAACAAATAACTTCATAGAACTTACAATATCCTATTTGAAACAATAAAAGTCTTTATTTTTTAATTGATAAACTTTATATATTAGAAAACTTACATCATTTTTTTGATGTGCAGAATTCATATTCAATCGGAAATATAGATAAAAGAAAGTGCAGATCATTATAGTTTTTAATAGAAGGAAAAAAAGAAAGATAGAGAGAGAAAAATTCTTTTTATAAAAAAAAAATTCAGATTAATAAACGACTAATTTATTTAACTGGTGGTTGCAGCTGGCGCTGTACTTGTTTGTTGTGCTGATATTGATTTATTTTTTGCATCATCAGGATCTCGAATTAATGCAAGAATTTTATCTAACTTAGCATTTTCCGCTTCGGGTCCTTCTGGTACTTCTTGACCTTTCTTAACTTTTGGTTTTCTACGTAAATTTGGTGAAAGTTTTAATGATGTTATATTTCCACGATCATCACCAACGAGTATGATTGGAAAATGTTGATTGAATGCAATATGTGTTAATTTTGTACGTTTTTTTTGTACTACTATTTGTTCAGCAAGTGGTTCATATTTATTAACATTTAAATCAAATACATAAACTTTTCCATCAGCTGTACAAGCAGCAAATACTGTTGATGAATAAGGTGCCCATGTAACATCACCAACTGCACTACCAAGATCATAGACAAATAATGGATCTCTAGTTACAAGGAAAAACAAAGTAACGATTGAATATTGAATATAAGTTATGAAAAAATTTTTTACTTAAAATTAATATCCCAAATCTTAACAGTCCAATCAGCTGAACAGCTGATAAAGATTTTTGGATGAAAGGTATTCCAACGTACAGAGTAAACAGCCATATGATGTGCATCAAATGTATCCAAAAATTGGTTATTGTATGATTTTGAACATTTATGAATTTTTCCTTCTTCTGTACCGGCAATAAACAAATAATCTTGTTGTTTATTAAAATCAAAACATGTTCCACATCCTTTCATGTATTAAGAAAAATAATAAGAAAAAGAATATTAGTATTTTTATTTGCATTAGCAAAAAAAATATTCTTACCAAGTGTTGCTAATGGAATTCCTTCATCGGGTTCAGTAGCTGGTTTTTCTAATTTTAATTGAACCACATCTGTGTACATTAAATCACTCTAGTAATGAAAAGAAAAAAAAATTTTTACCATCAAATAAATCTTTTCTTTTTCTAAATGAAATTTACTTTAACTAGAGTCCAACAAACAATACGACCATCGGATGATATTGAATAGAAATTAAGATTTCCATCCAAATCATCTTTCTGCCAACGCACTTGCCAAACAGGATCTGTATGTTTACCATTACGTGCTGTACTTTGATATTTTGGTCGTTTATGTTCATCAGCTATATTATAAACAGCAACTGAACCATCATAAAATCCTACATATTGAAATTATGTGATAAATCATTTCTAGAAAATAATATCTAGATTTACCACAAGAAAGTAAATTTGGATGATTTGGATGAAAATCCAAGCACATAACACCAGTATCAGTTAAAAAAATATTTTCTGGAAAACTTGGATTTTTTAATGAATAAATTAAAAACATTCCACGACTTTGTTTCAGAAAATCATCTATGAAACAAAAAAAAACAAAATTATAAAGTATAAAAAAACTTTATCGTAGAATAAAAACAACATACATGAACCAAATGAAACAGCAAATAAATCTGTATAATGTGTATTCCAAGCCAAATTTGTACAAGCCAGTTTTTTTGTTAAATCATATTGAAATACCCACAATGGTAAAAGACTACCTTCTTGTTCACGATATTCATCTGCTGCATCTTCCCAATATTTAAAATCTATAACAAAAAAATTCTTCTTTCCTTTATTTTTGTTATGAATAATAATTAACCTTGTGCAATATCATCAAATGTATTTTGATTAATCATTCGTTCAAGTATTTTAAGTGATATACTAGCTGATTTTGATCGAGCTAATTTAGCCATATCATCACCCTATGTAATAAAAAGAAAGATTTCTTTATTTTCATAAGATAGTTTTTTGTCTTACTGTTTGTTCAGTAATAACAAATTTCTTTTTTCGTTCATCATCTTTTTTTACTAAAACTTTTTTATGTTCTTTTTCTTTTGCTTTTTGCTAAAATAAAATTTTTTTTTTTTTAACTTTCAAATTTTTAGCATCTATTTTACTTGTTGATCAAAATCTTCATTATAAGCATCAAATATTGACCATTGTGAAACATTATCAGTAATAACAGCACGTGGTGTTTGTTCAACAAATGTTTCACGATCCTAAGAAGATAGAATAATTAATTAAAAACCTCTTGTTTGTTTTAATTAAATACTCGGCATGGATTATTATATGTTTGAGATGCTCGTTCACTATAATTAAATTGATTTGTAAGTTTTTTTCCTTTACCACCAGTACTAGTAGGTTTCTTTGGTTTGTCTTCATCTTCCTCATCACCTTCTTTTGTTGTTGTTTCCTTAAGAGAATTGAATTAGAGCAAAAAGTAATTATTACAATTAAATCTCAAATACTGCTTCAGTAACAGCAGCTGTTGTTGTTGTTTCAACTTCTTCTAGTGTATGTTCTATGAAAAAAGAAAAAAGAAAAAATTATTATTAGTAATATATGTATTTGATTATAATTAACCTCCACTATCTCGAACTAATTGTCGTTTTCCTTCTTCAGAATCTTTATGAATAAGATTACCATCAAGTTGAAAATGAATAGCTAATTGATCAACTTGTGGAATTGGTTTAAATGTTCGTTCCTATATTATTCAATTGACTGTACTTTTTTATAATTAAAAGTGCGTAATATACTTTATAGCTAAATCGAACAATATTTTCCGCTGCTTGTGGATTACGTGCTGTAAGAATGCGTGTATGTTCTTCATTTAATTCCTAATAGAAATTGAATTTTAATAAAATGTATATCAGTTGAAAAATAAAACAACATACGGCATCGGTTAATTTTAATTGATCATCTGGACGAACAGGTCGGAGTGCCTAATTAAAATTAATTAAGATGAAAAAAAAATCAAGAAAAATAAATACTTACTTCATCTGATAGTTCAGGCATAGTGCCATAATCTTGCTCTTCATCCTATAAAATTTTATTTAAATTAAGTTTTCTTAATGTATAATATTTCTTCGTACCCGAAAACCTGTTATTATTGACTGACGAGGCATTTGACTAAGACGTCGCTGGATGGGGACTCCAACGGCAGCTGGTTGAGTCTAATATAAAACGAATTGCATATTGAATAAACATTCTAACAGATATTTACCGTTTTTTTCTCGGCAACTTTTGTTGGCATGGTTGTTAGAGAGTAACTAAAATGAATGAAAAACTATTCAATATATGCCATTAACATCATTGTTGCTCCAAGCATAACATAGCAACGGATCAATTAACAACATCATATAGATGTCAGTTAAATTGCAATGTTTAGTATTCAATTGACATGAAACATTATTGATGTTAGGACGAAAAAGCTCGAAGATATTGTTTACTTTTTAACAATAAGGTTTCGCAATTTTGTTTCTTGTACAATAGCTATGATTTTCAAAGGTTTGATTGTGTTTTTTTTTGTCATTTCATCTATTTGACAAATAATTGAAGACATACATCAAATTCATTAACAATAGAGATTAAAATTATTTGATAAAACTTTGTCGAATTCATTGCTTCACTGTTGTTTTTAATGTTATTCTTGCACTTCACTTTGTTAAGAGTACATTACACGAATGTGAATAAACAATTTAAAGATATTTTAATTGTTTTGGATTTATTTTCATTTGTCGCACTACAATCAACTAAAATATTTCTGTCAATCTTTTATTTAGAATAGTTATATTGACTATTATAAATAAATAAATGAGAATTAAAAGTGTATAATAATACTATTCGTACTTAGCAATAGACAAATTATGTATTAATACCAGGTAAGTCAAAATGATTGCAATACTAAGTATGTCGCAAATATTTCAGCTAAGACAAATGATAAAATTTTCAATTTTATTTTCAAAAAGATATGCCATTGATATTTCTACAAAAACTATATCACAATATTCTAATCATTTTTTTTTTCATGAATTTTTAGAAAACTATATAGAATAAAAGATATATGAAATATTTCTGCATTACATTACATCAGAGCTAAAAGAAAATTTTTGTAATGCATATTTCGCATACACTATATTTTAAATAAATTCAATTTTGTAGAAAGTCGAGTTTGCAAAGGTCAAACATTTCTAATGTTCATTTATTGTTGTCCGAACTGTCGATTTTCAGAAGACTTAAAAAATTCACAATTACTATGAAAAATGCTCGATATTCAATTTCTATCTTATAAAAAGTAAATAGGAGTTCTACAAAAAGTCAAATATCAAAGCTATACTTTTTTAGAAAATGATTTAACTAGTGATTTCTATAAAGTCTTTGTTCAATCATAAATGTAAGAGTGTCGGCAATCAGTCCATTTTGTATGAACAGTAGAGCTCATGGAATCCAAGAATTTCTAGATTCGGACCCGGCCCATCAAGATTGTTGGATTAGGATCTAATTGATTGACTTTTTGTAAGCAGAGCCATCGGTGCTGAATTCGGTCGACTCCAGCTTCTGGTAGAACCTGGTGGAATCTACTGAACGAATACATAGTATTCATTTATTTCTAACTCCTGAAAAGAATATACGAAATAAGAATTTTTCTAACTATGAAATTAATGGGATATTATTAAGCGGTCAGTAAAATAAATGAAATGGTCAGGAAAATATATGAAATGATCAGTAAGATAAATGGTCAGTAAAAAATGTATAAATGATCAGTAAAAAGATTAAATGGTCAGTACTTAGATTATCACTCATATAAAAAAAGAGATTGGAAAAAATCTGATTTTAATCGATTTTTTTGTGATTAAAAATCGATTAAAATGGGACAGTTTTAACCAGGTTTTTAATCAAACTAGTGATGAAAATAAATTAAATTTATAAATATCCATTTTAACCGATTAAAATTTTTTCATTGACTATTTTACTCAATTTTAGTCAGATTATTCGATTTTTAATCTATTAAAATCGATTAAAATTTTTAAATCGATTTTAATCAAT